ATTAGAGATGGGTAGACAGCACACTCAGCGAGTAGAGTGCCAGTGCTCAAAGAAATGGGATGCGAAGCAGTCCAGGGTAGGGCACCTTGAGAGGCTGTTTCAATACAGGTGATCTCAAATGTGTGATTTTCTGTCTGTGGGTACCAGTGCAAACTGTTTGTGGGGTTAAAGTTAAGAGGCGTTGCAGAGGAAAAGGCAATTTGCAGGTGAAGAGAATTTAGTGCCTGGGAATTTATGTAACTGAAGTTAAGTCAGCTGCTTTCTAGGCTAGAGGAAGGGACAGTTTGCAGGAGACACGTGCCTAGCAGTTCACAGGTGATTACCTTCAAGAGCTTTTCCATGATTAACACTGTTCTCTTCAAGGATGGAGGGAGAGGGTCACTTGCTAGAGTGGCCTCCCAAAGCAAGAAAAGAGCTTGCTTTGAGGCTGCAGTTTTTCTTGAAAGTACAATTTTAGATTCTTGATTCTCTAGTCTCCTTTCTATGTAATTCTAGTTCTTCTATCCTGCTTAATATAGACTAAAATTTCATGTTCAAGATAATAATGAATTACTCATGTGAATATGTCATGAGCACCTTTAACATTTTATGTAATAAAAAAAACTTAAGATGTTTTTCTCAGAGAAGTTTTAATTTTAGGACCCAATATGCAGACATATAGATACATGCATACATACAAAAGTTGGAGTGTTTGACTCTTAATCTAAGCCAGTATAATCATAGAGACTTGTTTTATTCAGTAATAAAACTTTGTACTTGATTTTAGGTATTTATTGAATATTTATTTTAAAATACTTCTTTTAACAATATTGAATATTATATTGTTATAGATGGTATTATTTGAGTATTTGTTACAAGCAGTTCATTTTTAAAAATTATCAAGAATTTGTGAGTCTTTTTTGAGTATTACCTGATTCTGTCCATAATCAAAGGAACACCTATTTTTCTATTCTAAAATTTTTCTGAACATGTTTTGTAGCATGGTTATCCAAAAAATCTGAAAAGAATTTGAGCTATTAAAGCCCTTGATATCTGTGAGCTAAGTCTTAGAATGGAGATCCTTTGGACAGAGTTGGTGTGTGAGTAGAAACCGTTAGAGGAAGTAGCAGATACATGTTTTCTCAGGTTTGGGTTGTCGTGGTACGGCTAATGCACATAGTTACAGTGACTCAGTAAGAGAGCTATTTTCCCAAAACTGCCAAACTAAGAAAAACAATTAAAGAGTCCCACATTTTTATGAATCATACGTTTTTTAAAATTCTTTTAAAATAATTTCCAAGTTACGGAAAAGTTTCAAGTAGCATATAAGAATTGTTGTATCTTACGTCCAGATTTGCCATATATTTATAACATGTTATCTTGTTTCTAGATTTCTCTAAAATACATATAATTTTTTTTCTGAGTAACTTGAGAATAAGCTACAGGCATAATGCCACCTTATTACTTTAGGGAATGTATTATAAAATCAAGGCCATTCTTTTATGTGTTATACTATTCTTATTAAAGTCAGCACATGCAGTTAATTAAACATTTGTTTAGTTGGAGACAAAATATAGGTAGAATGAAAGCATAGATTTCAAAACTTAGATGCTTAAAAGAGTTAGCATTTCTCTAATGGATAAGAAATTAATACAGAAAAATTAATTTTAGAGTCAGATTGTAAACTAACAAGAGTAACACAAATACACAAAAATAGACGGTCTAGAAACATGAAGAAAAAGCAGTCATTTCAAACTCAAAAATCAGGAAAATAATGGGTTAATGCAAAGTCCCAGAAGAGATTAAAGTGCTCAACCAAAAGAGCAGTGGGAGGGAGCTCACTTCCTCCTCTTACTGTCCTTGACCATGAATGTGACTATGTTGTTGTAGTTACTCAGTACTGAGCTGTCTGGAATGCTTAAGATGTAATGGGTTCTGTTCTACAAAAGTTAATACAGTACCTTTTTTTCCCCCTTTTAATTATCAGATTTTAATTTTAACATGGGGCTGTTAAAAGTTTTCTCTTCCTAAGTACTTCTCCTTAGCTTGTTTTTCATATCTTCTTGATTATGAAAGACAAAAAGTTATAGAGTTGATTGGTTGTAATTACTTTAAAGGAATGGAAGGAATGTTTTTAAAAACTTAATTAAGATACTGTCACTCTGGAGTTTACAGGATAGTTAATGTTTTTGTATTATCTGGCATTTACATATTAAATGTTAATTTATACAAGTTGCTTGTCATTTACTGTACTTCTGAATTAATCAGAAAAGGCAAAGCATCTGATGTCATTTTCAGACTTTACCACATAAAGGTAAGGAGTACAATAGACACACTTAGGACATATAATATTGTAGCAATTTTTTAAAAGCTTGTAACTGAAAATCACGAATAATTGGATTTTCTTTTAGCTTCAGAATGAGGTTTGTAATGAATACCAAACCATGTCTGTGTGAAAACACCATAAAATAGTTGAGAGTCTTTATTTCTTAAACAGATGTTTTAAAGCAGTTTTTAAAATTTATGTAAATGCTTAAATGTAGATTTTTAGTTTTTGTTCCTTTCCATTCTCTATATCCAGATGATTTTTGACTTTTTAGGAAGGTACTTTCATGATAAAATTTCAGTCTATAAGTAACACATTTCTTTCCTACATTGTTACTTCTTGATTTCTGGTTTAAAAGTAAAAGTAGGAGATTTTTAGATCTTTGTCTTGGCATCTAGTTTTTTACCAAGCTTTTTTTTTCAGAAAGGAATACATTGTGAGAACTGTCTACTAAAAAAGCACAGTCATTTGTATGAATTTTTATTAGAACACAGGTTTTCTCATCTAGTGTTTTAGTTCTTGAAAATGGTATTTGATTCCTTTAGCTAATTATATGCAAAATTCATTTTCCCCTCAAGTTTTCAGTGCTACAGGCTTAGAGGTAGGAGTTCTGTGGGATACCATCTTGCGACTGAGCACTTGACAGAAAAGCCCTCTGGAACAGCCAGAGGTATACCCACTTCCTTCAATCTGATTTTTTTTTTTTTTTTTAATGTATTTGGTACAGAGTCTCACTATGCAGTTTGGACTCATAGTGATCCTCCTGTTTTCAGCCTCCCCAGCACTGGGATTACAGGTATGCACCACCACACCTGGTCCTGGCTGTCTCAGTGTGCCCAGGATAGGGCTGGCGCGGCTGTGGTACTGGGGATCGAACCTGGGTCCTTAATTTTTCTTTCTGCTTTGTGTCCTGTTCATGATTGGGTATAAAATTCAAAGATGTATTTGGTTTGTAAAAAAATTACAAATGCAGCATTATTCTTTGTTATCTGAGAAAGTCTTTATGATCTTTTGATCCCTAGTGGTATGCTTAACTTACATTTCTGATTTTAATATTATACAAGATTTGTGTATATAATTCAAAGGAATCCTCTTAGCAAAGGAGGACAGTCCCCACACAGTTAAGTAAACTTAAAATGTTACCTCCAGGTTTTAATATAGTTTATCACAATGCCCAGGTTTTATTGATGTAGGGTACCATAATATGTTACCTTATATAGTTATTTAAGTTACTCCTTTAAAAAAAAAACACAGTTTATGTATTCATAATAAATATTTTCATCTTTTTATTTAAAGCCACTTTTTAAGTTTATCTAAACTATTTGCTTAATTTTTAGTTGAGGAATATTGTTGGCCTTTAAAAGTGATTATTGTTTACAGAGACTGTAGGTGCCCTATCAAGAAATGTGTGTATACTTTCACAGAAACAGTTTAAATAGTTACATTCTAGATTATATCATAGAAGAAACTTAATTTAAAATAAAATGGGAACTTCCATTGTTTCATGATGTTTGTTCTAAGTGGCCACAAGCTATCCTAGAAAACCTTATGCCAGAATATCCTTTGCTTGTAATAAGTTAGCCTCTCTCCTGTGCATTTGCAAGGTGCTATTTTTAGAGAAATAAAGGTAATAGTCACTCAAATTATTTTCATATGCTCACTTTTAAATCATGTGGGCATTTGTACAAATAATTTAAAATAGTTTTTTCCCTCAGTTTTATAATTGTTTAAAAATATATTTTAATCTATCTTCTGAAAGGTAATACATTTGAAATGCCTAGCACCATAATTAGGTGCTACGAAAGTAATTAGGAACTACAAATTTTGCTTTCAAGTTTGATTACTTCTTGCACTTTAAAGAGTGTAACTAATTCATTGCAGAAGTGTATTGATCAGCCTTCTTGTTGCTAAGACCAAAATAGCTGATATACCTGATTTATAGGAGGAAATGGTTGATAAATCAGGAGCATCATGGAAGGAAGGACCTAGTGGAAGAAGTCTGCTCATTAATGGCAGCAGGAAGCAGAGAGAGAGGGAAGAGCTGGAGGAAGAAAGACACATTCTGAAGACCCACCACAGTGACCCACCCCCCCCACCTCCTAACATTACATTCAGTCAGGAACTCAGTAAATTAATTGTTGATGATAGCATTGTGCACACACACACTGTGGTACAGATACTTTCTGAAAGTCCCACCTCTGGACACACTTTAGTCTTTCAGAACTGAACCTTAACAAATGTTCACTTTATTGGATATAGATAACACAAAAAGTAAGAAGATAGGATCTGAAGTCATGTGTTGCTTGGACTGGAATTTCTCATTGCTTACCATTTACTGTGATACTGGGCAGATTACTATCATTAGGTGTTAGGTTTCTCAGGTGCAAACGGAAGTTGTAATGTTATATTTACAAATGTTGACACATTTCCTGACACACAGACACATTTTTAAGGAAATGTTAATTTTTAATAATTTGTTACATGATTATATTTATTATTTTGAAAAGCAGTGGTTTCAAATAAGAATAATTGTATATTATTATTTCCTTATTTCTGAGAACTAACAATTTAGGAGAAACTTAGTTGGGTGATCCTGGCTTGCTGTCCCATAAAGTTGTGGTTAAAATATCAACAGGGGTTGTTGTCATCTAAGTGTTACTTTGAAACTAACAGCTATAAATTTTATGCTTTGCAGACTATGTCTTCCGCAGTGGTACAGTTATATGCAGCAGACCGGAACTGTATGTGGTCAAAGAAGTGCAGTGGTGTTGCTTGTCTTGTTAAGGACAATCCACAGAGATCTTATTTTTTAAGAATATTTGACATTAAGGTGAGTTTTATCTTGCTTTTACTTCAGACTGTATTTCTTCTCCATTATAATTTATGATACAGGACCAGTGAGATAGCTCAGTGGACTAAGCATCTGCTTAGGCAGGGACTGGGATTCTATCCCAGCACCACATGCCCACTGGCACCACCCGTGGGCAGGCTGGGCTGGCCATGGGGAGGCTGAAAACAGAGGGATCACTATGACTCTGAACTGCATAGCAAGACCCTGTACCAAATACATTTTAAAAATTAATATACATTTATTTACCCTGTATTTAATACTTAAATTGCACTTAAAATGATAACGGGAAAGTAAAGCTTGGTTTTAGGTACTGAAATGTGGATATTGGGAGCAAATGGGAGCATATCCTAAGCTAAAATTAAGTATAGGAATTTATGCTTATCTGTGGTTTTGCTTTTAGTAATACCATTGGGGGGGTATTTAACTAGTCACAGTCCCGAGTTTCAGTTACTTAACTAGTCGCAGTCCTGAGTATTAAATGGAAAATTACTAAAATAATTCATAAATTCTATTATAATTGTTCTATTTTATTGCTGTTGTTACTTTCTTATTGTGCAATTTATGAAGAACTATCCTACTTCAGAAATAAACCTTAAGTGTGTATGTATAAGAAAAATACAAAAAGGTATCTTTGGTCTTAGATACTACCCAAGGTTTCAGGCACACATGGACTATATTGCAATGTGTCTCATGGATAATGGGAAACTACTGTACCTATTTGTTGTATCTCTTCACTGCCACCATGAATTAAAGATTTTACCTCCCCCCCAGTGGTATTCTTTTATTCCATCTTGGCTAAGGTACATAGTCATTTCAGAGAACAATAAAAGACTTAATTTTGTATATGGTATTATTTAGGCCAAGTTTATAACTAT